AAAGTGCAGGAGCAGCACTTGGCCTTGAAGCTGTGAAGTTGCACACAAACATCCTCACTGATATTCCAACCATCCAAACATGTTTTGTGAAGGGAAGACAGGAAGTTTGGTCCACCTGAAAGGAATGACTGATGCAAAAGATGTAATAAACATCCTTTCAGAAAAAAACCAACCCCAAATCTCATCCTTCTACAGAACAACATCAAGTCATTCCCATGTCCCTACACCAGGGTGTCAGCAGCAGGAAGTGACAGCTAAACAGGACAGAACCCAATGGCTCTGTGAGCCAAAGCAGCTGGAGATTTTGTGCACTTCGAGACAAAAGGATTCCTCACTGGAATGAGCTAAAATTATCCCCCAGACTCCACTACGTGTTGCAATGAACCACATAAATTCCCAGAACCCAGGGGAGTCCTTGCTCCCTGGGATGTTTCAGAGATGAAGCTGAGCAGCAGATGGAACGTGAGGTGTGTCCTGCTGCGTAGGCCAAGGAGTGTTGGGAGGGACCTTTATAAAAAGATGTTTCCACAAACACTTGCTGTAAGCCATAACAAACAAACCTCCTAATTAGCAACAACCAACACCACAAAGGCTGAACGAGACAACAGGGATAGCCCAAATCAATACAGGAAATTGGGGATCACACGATCAGTTCCACCTCCGAGGCAGGACAGGTAACAGAGTGCTAAGGATCCTGTGCCCAGGCAGGGGGACAGGGGTGAGGGGCACCCCAGGAGAAATGTCAGTGTCTGAGGTGCTGTGAGAGCTCACAGGGTGGATGTGCAGCTGAACTATCTGCTGTGCTGGGCAAAGATATTATCTCAACAGAAGCAAGAAGAAGATAGGAAATATTTCCTATTTTGGGTCATGCTGTGTCTGTGAATGGAAAACAAAACTGAAGGGAAAATGCTATTTTGATGGAATTTATTGACTTAATCTCCAAACCAGGAACTTCATTCACCTTTCTCCTCCAGGTATGTTTGTATTTGTGTGGCATCGACAAAATATCCTGATGAAATGGTGAATTCCCTTCAGGAGTGAGAACATGACCTCTGACACATCAGGAGAGACCAGACCAGAGCCAGGAAGCTTTCCAGGTCTCTCAACCACCCTGTACCTGTCTTTGGTCCAAGCATGTGAAGGGTTATTCCCTTCCACACTTCCTTTCCTCCCAGGCTCACTCAGAGCTCTTCTGTCCTAGCTGGAATACAAGTTTTCATAATTAAATTGTTATATATAAACCACAGTTGTAGAGGTGTGATTGAAATAATTGCTGACACGTGGCATTTGCCAATGTTCACTGAGTTTTATGAGAGATTGCAAAGAAGTCAGAGTGGCTTAGTGTACCCACAACACATCCTGCTATAAGTTTCCCAAAGGCACAAAGCAATAAAGGACTAAAAATAGGAATACACAGCAAAGGATAACCACAAACCTGTGAAAATATCAGTTAACTGTAAAAAAATCAGTCAGGATTCCTCACAAATATCTGAACATTGGAAGAGGGAGAGGAACAGCATCACTGCCCTGTATTCTGGCAGAGAGTTGTTGTGCTGAGAGGGATGTGACCAGGACGAGGTGAGTGGGATGAGTTTGTTTCGGGTGACTGTAAGTCGGTGCACTAGATCTCAGCACAGATCTCCCTAATTCAGAGCCACCCAAACAGAAATTACATGTTTTGTGTCAACAAACAAATGGTCACCAACACTTAGAGGAAGGGTTAAGCTTCCTGACACTGCCAAGCATCTCCCTTTGGCAAATTAGGGCTTGCAAACACGGACGGATGTGTGTACTCCCTGCCACGGCGACACCCACTGTCTCAGCTATAAATGCAGAGGAGGCCAGCTGGAATTCGGAGCTATGATTCCAGAACAACTGTAGGACCAGCTCTGAGTGTCCACCTGAGTTATTTGCTGCTGCCACGATGAGCTGTGGCTCCAAGCAGCCCCTGAAGAGCTGCCTGCGAGGGAGCAGTGGTGGCGGTGCCAGCGGTGGGGGCGGTGGAGGGGGCAGCATGCAATCCTCGGCCTCCTCCAGAGGAACCTCTTCCAGGACCAGTGGTGGTGGCAGGTTTTCTGGCAGCAGTTGTGGCGGAGGAAGCTCCCGGAGCAGCTATGGTGGTGGTGGTGGTTACGGAACGGTCAGGCGCGGCAGCTACGGAGGAGGAATGAGCAGTGTCAGCTGTGGAGGAGGAATGGGTGGTGGATATTACGGAGGGGGAATGTGCCGTGGCAGCATGGGAACAGGGTTCAGGTCAGGGGGTAGTGGCTTTGGAGGTGGCTATGGAGGGAGCTTTGGTGGTGGAGGTGCTGGTTTCAGCTTTGGTGGTGGAATTCTCTCCAATGATGAGAAGTTGACCATGCAGAGCCTCAATGAGCGTTTGGCTTCCTACATGGACACAGTCAGGAATCTGGAAAAGGAAAATGCTCAGCTGGAACAGTTAATCAGGGAGTGGTATCAGAAACAAGGTCCCACGGGCCCAAAGGACTACAGCCACTACTATGGACAAATTGAAGAACTCCAAAACCAGGTAAGAGGTTCTTTGCCCAGAGAGGTCTGAGCACTGACAGACCGAGAGGTTCCCAGGAAATGTTTTCCTCAGCATGTTGTTTCTCTTCCAGATTGTGGCTGCGGCTGTGGAAACCAACAAGGTACTCCTGGACCTGGATAACACAAAGATGACTGCAGAAGACTTTAGGATAAAGTAAATATCTATTCCTCTTTTCCAGGCATTGACTTCCTTCCTTCTGCTTTCCTCAGCTTAGTTTCGTAAACTCATTCCATAGACAAATGTCAATCCACAGGGCCTTGGGCTCCTCCACGGCAGCACAGCTGTAATAACTTGTGAAGCCAAAATGTTCAGCATTTCTAGAATGATCTTTGGTGGAAATTCTGCCCAAGGCTGTGGTAAAGCTTTGCTTTTAAGGAAACAAACCCAGTGATTTTCTGTGGCTGGAGGTCAGGTGAGACATAGAGGTGGAGCCAGCACAAAGCTGCAGTAAGAAGAGACGGTGAAAGAGACCACAGAATACATTTTAACATTGAAGTTCAATATTAACATTAAACTTTACATTTGTTAAGTATAAAGAATAATAACTTTATGTTATTGAGTAATATCGTTAGATGATAAGTACTGGCTGATGGTTTCCTACTTCTGCCGGTTGTGGGAGGCAACAGCTGCAAGGTCCAGACACAAAAGCAGGCACTGAGGTACTGGAATAGGTGAATTCTTGCATAAATAACATCAGTAGGAGAAGGACTGAGATGCCAAGGGCAGTGCTGAGCCCTCTGCACTGCCCCTGGCACAGGTACGAGATGGAGCTTGGGTTCCGGCAGAACGTGGAGTCTGACCTCAACAGCCTCCGGCCCTTGCTGGATAACCTCACCCTGCACAAGTCCGACCTGGAAATGCAGTTTGAGTCTCTAAAGGAGGAGATCATCGACCTCAAGAAGAACCATGAGGAGGTAAGAGTTCCTTGGAGCACAAACTGGAGATGTGGGAGTTTCCACAGGTGACCGAAATACCCATCCCTGCTCCCCCTGAACCAGCAATGAAGGGGAAGACCAAATCATTGCAACCCCAATCCCCCAGAATAAACGCATACATTCTTGAAAGGTTCTGTTAGTGTTCATTGTCCTTGGGCCTGGTTATCCCTGCAGGAAATGAAGATGCTGCAATCCCAGTCTGGTGGGGATGTGAATGTGAAGATGAATGCTGCCCCAGGAGAGGACCTGCTGAAGAAATTGAATGAGATGAGACAAGAATATGAAGCTATAATTCAGAAAAACCGTGCAGAGGTTGAAAAGTGGTATGAAAGCAAGGTAAATGGTGACAGGCTGAATGCTCATGTTCCAAAGAGAAACACCAGCCCTTGGGAAGAAATTCCTGTAGTGGAGTGACACAACATCCATTGCTTTAAAATATACTAATAGAGACCCTTTGATCAAAATGAAGGAAATCACAAATGGGCTTGAACTGCTCTGGCAGAGCCACACAAGCAGTTTAACACCCCTTTATTGCCCTGATGTGACTTGTGTTCCACTGGGTCCCAGGACAAACTGCCATGTTGACATTGTGAATAAAACTCAGAAATTTCAACTCTGTCCATTCCTTTTTCAGATGGAGGAGGTGAGTCAACAAGTGCACTTGAGTGGGCAGGAAGTGGAATCAAGCAACCAGCAGATCTCTGTGCTGAGACGTGAATTTCAGAGCCTGGAAATCGAGCTGCAGTCGCAGATCAGCATGGTAGGTCACAACTGCTCCTCATCCTCTGATGTGCAAATGGCTTGGGAGCTGCTGGAATGGCAGGAGGTTGCTCTAGCTGGCACAACAGCCAATGAAGATGCTTAGTGCATCAGGCACCGTATGAGATGTTTCTCATTTGGGGCATAAGAATGGTCTAATCCTACCACATTCCCATGAACACTGCGTTTGGTTTCCCTTTGCAGATAGACTCTCTGCAATCCAACCTGGAGGACACGGAACGTCGCTACAACATGCAGCTGCAGCAGATCCAGAGCATGATTGGCCCCTTGGAGGAGGAGCTGGCCAGCATCCGCTGCGAGATGGAGAGCCAGAACCAGGAGTACAAGATGCTGCTGGGCATCAAGAGCCGCCTGGAGCAGGAGATCCAGCAGTACCGGGCACTGCTGCAGGAGGGACACCATGGCATGAGGTATGGACCTTGATTCACTGCCATTGATGCAATCAGGGGAAGAGGAAAGCAGCAATATTTGCATTAGAACTGATGTAACTGATTCATCCTCCACGTATTTACTGCAGCCACAAGAATTCAGGTGGAATCTGAATCCTTTCTGGCAGTGTGTGTTACTGAAGTAGTTAGGGTGGCAATTTGCCATTTCTTCCCCTAAGTACCAGCAGAAAGTGCTGTTATCTGGGGAAAATGAAAGGTAAGGAGGAAATAACACTCCTCTTCCTCCTTACAGCACCTCAGAGGGAGGAGCTGGTGGCTCTTCAGGAGGAGGTCATGGAGGTGGACATGGAGGTCATGGAGGAAGTAGTGGAGGAGGAAGCAGTTGGTCCTCAGGTGGAGGAAGCAGTGGAGGAAAAAGTGGAGGATCCTATGGAAGATCTTCCTCTTCTGAAAGTGGAGGAGGAGGAAGTGGAGGAAGAACAGGAGGTGGAACCTGTGGTAAAGCTTCAGGTGGAGGAGGTGGCAGTGGTGGAGGAGGAGGAGGCAAATCCTGCCTCTCCCGCTCTTCATCTTCCCAGTCCCAGCCTGGAGACTCCTCTGAAAGCCAAGGTAAAAAATGGAATGAAAAAGTACATCCTGCCATTCAGGTTTCTCCCTGAACAGCAAGAAAGGTTCTGGCAACTTCCTTCCTGGAAATAGTTTCACTATTTTTTCCCAATGGTGTCTTAAGGCCACTCTGCCATTTGTTCTTAGGCAGTAACAAACCAACAGAGCGACTCGACTAAAGGGATGCCATGAAGGGTTGTACCACAGGAGGTGTAGAGAGAGGAAGTGAAGGGGGAAAAGATAACATGATGCCCAAGCCAAAGCATGCAGGGACCTGGAGAAGTCAGGAGTTAGAAATATACCTGGCATGAAGGTGGTGGTTAAAGCAGGGTGGAATAGTTGGACCACTCCAGACATCTAAAATGTAGTCATTAAACTATAGCTGCAAAGTGCTGATGCAGCAAAAGGTGGGGAGTGACCACGAGGTCTGCTCCATGCTGATTTCCCCACTGTGGATCCAGGAGGTGCTGGAAACATGAAGCTCTGCCTGGAGGGGAACAAAACATTGGAGAGAGGAGCAACCATGGAGGAAGTGTCTGAAGCCATAAAACACATGAGACTGGGTAAGGCTCCAGGTCCTGACAGCAGCTCAGGGAAACACCTGAACACAGTGAAAACCAACAGGCAGGTAAAGCTTTTAGAAAGGTTCACTTCCACTTCTGATTTGTAAAGAAAAGATGGGAAATGATGCTGCTGTGAGGCTCCCATTTATTCCTTATCATCCTCAGACTCAGCCAGGCTGTAATCTGTCTCCCAAACCTGCTGTTCCATCCCAGACTGACAGCTGGGCATGGCATGAGAGTCAACTCTCAACCAAAGGGCCTGAAGCCATCAGGGCAGTCAGTGGGACACTGTACACACACAGCTGATGCTGAAACAAAGGCAGTGAATTCAGAAGGATTTTGTGTCATGAGGAAGATTCTTGGGTGAATTTTGGTGCAGATGAGCTCTAGTTTTCAAAAATTCCAACACAGGATTTGCAAACTCCTCTATAAAAACTCACTCCTCTGTTCAAAGGTCCTATCTGACCTGCCCCACTCCTGCATATACAAATGTTTGGCAGACAAGATTGACACACATTTTGTGCCATCTGTCTTTAACTTGTAAAGATTTGTTGTAGATCTCCATACACAAAAATGCAGAGTCTAAGCTCATCAGTATTTGGTTTATTTACACAGCTGAGAACAGAAGCAGGTCTGTAGTTAACTGCTGAAGCTGCACACACACACGTGCAAACATGAAGTCTGACACTGCTGGAACCTTTCTGGAAGGCTGGGAACAACCTTGGAGCACTAAGAACTGCACAGGAGATACTTATGGAGTATCAGAGATGAAAAGTGCTGAATGAGCTAACACTTACAAATCCTTGCTAACCTTCATCTTTCAACAGGGAGTTTCAGGAGGTCTGAGGAGTGACTGCTGAAACCAGCACCTTCCACAGCAGGACCTCACCAGTGAGACCTTTGGACCGAGCACGGCCGAGCACAGCTCTGCCAGCAGCAGGAGCAAAACTCGTTCAAGTTACTCAACACTGCTGACTCCAGGGGCTCCTCAGAGCTCTCTGGGTGTCCTGTCTGCTTCTTCCATCTGTACTTCTGTTCCTAATCACTGTGACCTGAGTTAATCTCTACCGTGATTGGTGATCCTGTGGAATTAAGGCTAATAAATCTTTGCTTCTCTCTGATGCAACCAGAGAACTGTGTCTGGTTCGAGTTCCTTTAGGGGAGATTTTCATTTGAATCAGCTGCAAACACCAAGCCCTGTCTGTGCACCACACAATAATGAGTCGGGTTATCCACAAGAGCCAAAGTTTGCAGTGACATATTCACCATTTAGGACTCCCTGGGCAGAACTTTTCACTGCTGGGAACAATGCTCTAGTGGTCCCTGTGATGGGAAACCTCATAGTCAAGCACCTACTCAGTTCTGCTCCTGACTTCTATCAGGGTTTCATGAGCTTAAGGGACTGACTAGCCCCTAGAAAACCACTGAAAAATGAACTCTATGGGTAATTTCACTTGAAAATAACCCAGAGGGTTTCTCACACCTGCTCACAGACACATCCTTCCTCCCCTCACCTGCTTAAACCCACACAGGAGTATCACTGCTGTAAGTCTTTCAGTTTTACAATCACCAGGTTTGTTCTTTACCCTCTGAGGAAGGCATCTCCCATGGGAGAGGGTTGGGAAACACAGGCTGAGTGGGAGACCGTGGGAACAGGAATCCTGAATGCCCAAGTTCCAGGCAGAGCTGTGATTCATGTCGTTGCCTTACACCAGGCTCTCAGCCACGTGAAGAGCATTGAAAAACAAAAAGAATCTAATAAGAGTCGATTTTTTTCAAGACCTGAGTCTCTCTGGGAGCCTGAAGGACTGACTCACCTTCCTGAAGGACTCCTGCATGCACTGCACCATGGTGGTGGTGATCACATCTGCCAGGACACCCCATCTATCACCTTCTTCACTCTTAACCCCTTTGCAGCATCACATCACACTTGTCTCTGTTTTCCTCCCCGTCCCCTGAACCTGCTTTGCTCCCCTTCCACCTCTGGCAGGCAGTGGCAGCTCTTTCTCAGACCTGTCTGCCTAGGGGATGCAGCTAACAGCCCCAATGGATGGAATACTCCCAAATCCAGGAGCTCTGCTTCTCATACCTCCAAGAGGAGCTTGCCAGGCTAACCTCAAAAATGTTCCTGCTCAGTGCATGCTTCCTGCCCTTCACAGGGTGATTGTCAGGCCAGCACCTTACAGCAGAACCCTGATGGAGCAGTTGGATACTATTTCCTCAGAGAGCAGCCTGTCCATGCTGGAGCTCACTGCTCCACAGCAGCTCTGAGCACTACTCACACCTCTTGCTCCTGTTCTTCTTCCCAAAAATACAACTTGTAGTATTTTGCTGCTAGTTATGTAATTCTCAGGCATCTCTACATCTAACCTGAATTCCCCCAGAATGAGTCCTTGGGGGAGAAAAGCAGAAGGAAGAGGAGTTTGGAGCATGGGAAGGGCAGTGAGGCAGTTCAGGGGCTGAGAAATCAACACTGAGCAGAAACAGGTAGAGGATGTAACGTGTTGCAATGCTCAGTGCAGTTCTGCTGCTGATTTAAATGCTTATAGTGATATGTTGTAAGTGACCATTTCTGAGCCAGGAGAATAAATAAAATAACATTACTACTGCTGTTATTACTACTCAGCATTGAATGTACCATTTTCTTCCTTACCTAAAGTCTCTACCTCTTAACAAGGTGGTTTTATACTCTTCCTGCAAGACATTAATCTTAATCTACAATGCAAATCAGCTTCATAATGACGTTTATTTTCTACACGCTGCAGTATGTGACAAAATGTCCAGAGCAGAGCACCGAGGCTGGTGAAGGGACTGGAGCTCAAGTGCCATGAGGAGAGGCTGAGGGAGCTGGGGGTGTTCAGCCTGGAGAAGAGGAGGCTCAGGGGAGACCTCATCACCCTCTGCAACTCCCTGACAGGAGGTTGGAGTCAGGTTGGTCTCTTCTCCCAGGCAACAGCAGCAGGACAAGAGGGCACAGACTCAAACTCTGCCAGGGGAGGGTTAGGTTGGATATTAGGAAGAGATTTTTTCTGGAGAGAGTGTCAGGCATTGGAATGTGCTGCCCAGGGAGGTGGTGGATTCCCCATCCCTGGAGGTTTTCAAGCTGAGACTGGATGTGGCACTTAGTGCCATGGTCTAGTGACCACGGTAGGGTTGGACTTGGTGATCTTGGAGGTCTTTTCCAACCTGATTGATCTTAAGATTCTATGAAAATTAATACAAACCACCAATAATCTCACAAAACCTCCTACTTAATCATGGCATTAGTGCCCATTACAGACTGAATTGAGATGGTTTCTTACCAGACCCTGGAGGAAAATGCCAGTTTAAGGATTCTTTCATTTTTCCATTCTGTGTTACAGAATCTGGACCTGAGTTATCACTGGCATTTGCTTACAGGTTTACCATGAGGAACCACATAGAAAAGCAAACTCATTACAAAGCAGGAGTGAGAAATACAGGCATTGTAGTGTCAGAGCTCAAGGCAGGCTCACAGTGGGGCTAAGAGATCCTGAGGAGTGAGGAGAACTTTGCTCTTTTTATTTGCATGCATTTCGTTTGGGATTAATCAGCATAATGAGCTTTAATTTTATGGGCACTGAGTGTTGCAATTTGAATACTTACCTGGTGTTCCTATTAGTGCTCTGAGAAGATAATTGGGGAACGTGTTAGAGCAAGACCTGCACAGCAACCTTGGGCAGAAATCACTGTGCACACACACTCCTGCGTGTTTGGCTTTGGAGCTCCCAAGCAATCCATGTGTCCATTTGAAGGCACAGATGGAATTCCCAGATTGCCTGTGTTGATCTCTCTTTTGTTGAGCATTAATTGGCAGCCCTATTAATTGCTAAGTGCTACCCAGGCCATATCCATGAGCTCCAGAGTGAGTACAGCAAAGCACATTGTGTCACTGCGCTGGGGGGAGGAAGGAACTCAGAGATCCTCCTGGGGCACACCTGGATCACCATGAGGGTCCCAGTGCCTTTCCTGCACTTCTCCAAGGGGTAACACCACTGGCTCAGGCAGGCATTGAAGTGTTGAGGGTTTTGTGGCAATAATTCTCCGTTTGGACCATCCAGAGGAGTCAGATCCCAAGGCAGTAGGCAGGAACACGACTTAACTACACTCATTCCCAAATCCTGGCTCAGTGGGTGTTTAACCACCTCAAGTCATCACATTCAGTAAAGGTTATGTTTTGACTGACAAACTCTCAGGCTGCTTCTGCACCGGCTCAGCCCAGGCTGAGGTGAAGGGGAGTGAGTACCACCTCCTTCCCACTGCCCATGGGCAAGCTGAGCCCATCCAGGCTGTCCCTGAGTGTAAATCCTTCACAGAGCTCAGCCCAGCAGGACCTTCCTCCCTGGGACATGCTTCAAGGAGAGCAGAAGCCATGGCAGCCCTTCCTTCACCCACTCTCCAGCTGCACCAGTGCCTTTGCGGATCAGGATCCCAATCTCCACAGTCCATCTCGGCACTGACCAGAGCATCCAGGTGTCGATGTCCAGCCTGAGAGGGCTCTGAGGCTGCACAGCCCAAAGGGACTGAGGCACCTGAACTCCAGAGAGAGGCAGCAGACCTTGGCAGGTGCTGACCATGCCCTCCTCCTTTTAGAGACAACACGAAAAATGCTGTTCCATTTTGGCACCAACCAAGAGAATTAGACCAATCAAATTGCCTCGTTCTGCTTGGCAAGCAACAATGTTCTGTAAGATATGGGTCCTGTATCAACACAGAAACATCAAGGATTCAACTGTGCATCATATATGGGAAAGAGATGAGAAAAGGTCCTAAAGGTGCAGGTTCCTTTTAGGTAGTTCCATGAATTCACATCATCCATGCAGAAACCCATGGCTTGACTCTTTTCTTTCAGTGCTTTCATTTTTTAAGCATTTTCCAAGCAAGCAATCAGACCTGCCCTTATCAGAGGACCATTCCAGCATGGACAAATCCCTGCTGTGAACAGGTACATGTGGAAAAAGACACCAATATATAAAGTAGGAAACAATGAGGGTACTCAGGAAGTACAAAAACAGATTAAGAGATTCTTTTGGCAAATTTCTTACTCTTTCTTTCATAATTCCAGAGAATTTTCTGCTCACTGTCACTAACAGACCCATAGATTGTTCTGGCTTGGCTATGAAAAGCATCTCTAAGGAATATCCTTGGAATCATTGGGGGGAATTTGAGCAGGATCATCAGTTTTACTTACCATAGTGGAATCTGTGACAAAGGGTCCCACTGACCAAAGGGACATTACCCACTCTCGGGGGCAAGCCAGCACTGAAAAGGAAAAGCATTTTCCCCTTTTTTTTGCATCTTTCTGCCCCAATAACAGACTGTGCTGAAGCCCAGAAACTGTTTGTGTTGCTGAGGTGTCACTACCAACCTCCAGCCGAGAACCAAGAGAAATCACAAAGCTGCTGAGAATCTTTCATCATCTTTGAACCACTGAGAGATCAAATGGCAAGATAAAATCAGGGAGCTTTGGAAAGAGATTGCCTAAGCAGCACTAAAGCAATGCTGGCACAGGCAAGGAGCAAAGGCCAGGACAAAGGATGAGGTCAGAAAATGCAAAATAATCCCGAATTTCCAATCAGCTCCCCACCAAGGAGGCCTTTGGAAGGCAAGAACTCTGCTGCACTGCCATCTCCAAGGGGTCCTGGACAGCAGACCAGAGCTGGCAGTTGCTCAGGTGTGCCCTGTGCTCCCTGCACCTGCGGTTCAGGGGGAGATTGCTCCATTCCATGACTACCTACAGTCATCAGAGGCTCTGTAACCCCATGGGGATGAGGGCAGGCAATGAAGATGTTTCAGTCACACACAACAGAACTGTCACTGGGAAACTGAGCACCTTCTCAAAGCCAACTGAGGCAGTTTGAGTCCATCTAAAGCAAGACACAAATGCTGGTGGTTTGCTGTGTTTGCACATCTGCCTTAGCATCCAACCTACTAAGTGAGGATGGAAAACCTTGACAGGTCTATCCAGGGTCAAATTCTGGGGATCAGGGCAGGGCTGAAGTGTGGGGCCATGTCTGTTGTGGTCTCAACAGTCTGATTTCAGCTGGTCTGTGCAAAAAGCCTTCCAGCTGTTCTCTCAGGATGCTGTTGGAGTCTCAAGGACCTCTGGTCTCAGAGCAGTAGGTATAATGACTTTATCACCTGTGATATGTGACACATTAACATGAGAAAGCATGAGCTGCTTTATATTAAACTGTAAAAGGTCTTCCCACACAATAATTTTTTGGCTGCTATCTGAGGTAATACAACTGCTAATTGGGTTACAATTGAGTTTCTAATATGCTTGAAGTATCCTTGATCTTCCTCCTATTTTAGATCAACAGCTCTTTGGTGAAAAAAGGCCCAATATTTTTTGTCTCTTTGAGTTCTAGGATGTGGCTGGCTGTCCCCTAGTGTTTTCTGCACACAGGAGGGACTGTGATCTTTAAATAAGAATCTCTGCATTGCCTGAAATAGCCTGACCATGCCAACAAATGTGTTCTCTAGGTGCTGACAGGGCTACACGAGTTGGGTCTCAATAGACAAGTCACACAGTCCTGTTAATGAAACTCTTGCACACTCTCACATATGGTGAGAAAAGGAACATAAACTGTGTAGAAAATCTGAAATGCACAAAATAGGTCAAGTCTGACAGCAGCACCTACAAAACCTTAGCAAAGAAAGTACCTGTTGCAGAGAAAGCTGAATGAAAAGAATCCTCCCAAAGTGAGATGTTCAATGCTAATCCAGCCCCAGCACTGCTGGATTGCCTGAGGTAGCTGCACAAAAACATCATTCAGCAAATTATTCTTGGCACAAACAAGAAGATTGGTAAATGCCCTGGGAGAAGGAAACACCCTGATGGTGACACCCAGTGTCAAATGTATAAATAGAGAGAGCTGGGGATGGAAATTTGCAGTCCTGAAGCTTATCAGGCTGTGAAGCTAAATTTGGGGTTGCAGTTAGACTCTCACCTGTTGTCACCATGAGTTGTGGCACTAAGTCTTCGTCTAGTACCATTAGAATTAGCAGTGGAGGTGGAGGTGGTGGTGGTGGTGGAAGATGCAGTGGTGGAGGTGGTGGAGGGGGTAGGTCTGGTGGATACTCCTCAATGTCCTCTAGAAGATACACCTCTTCTGGAGGTGGTGGAGGCTTTTCTGGGAGAAGCTTTGGTGGAGGAGGCTCCAGGACCAGCTATGGAGGAGGCTTCAGCAGTGGCAGCTGTGGGAGGATCAGCCGCAGCAGCTATGGTGGGAGAATGAGTGGTGGCAGTTACGGAGGAGGAATGAGCTGTGGAAGTATGGGAGGAGGATTTGGATCAGGAGGAGGTGGATTTGGAGGAATGGGAGGTGGTTATGGTGGTGGTGGATACGGCGGAGGTGGACTTAGTGGCTTTGGGGGCAGTGGTGGCTTCGGTGGTGGTGGTGGTGGCTATGGTGGAGGTGGTTTTGGTGGGATGGGGTTTGGGGATGATTCTGGCTTGCTCTCCACAAATGAGAAGTTGACCATGCAGAACCTCAACGATCGTTTGGCTTCTTACCTGGACAAAGTGAGACATTTGGAGGAAGAAAATGCTCACCTTGAGCAGCTGATCAGGGAGTGGTACAAAAGCCAAGGTCCCACTCAGAGCAAGGACTACAGCCACTATTACAGGACAATTGAGGAACTGCAAAACCAGGTATGATGGGATTTGGCTAACTTTGGAACGCCCCTGTTTGGGGTGCTGTATCCCCTCCTTTGCTTTAGCCAGGAAGCTGAGGAGTGTGGAGGCCAAGTCTGGCTGCCAGTTTGTCTCCTGTGTCCGGCACACGTGTTTGGTGCAGGAAGTGTTGCTGGGTGCAATGGCAGGTCAGCACCAGTGCCCCCATCACACTGCCTGTCCCTCGCTCCCATCAACGCTGAGCTGCTGCTTGCTTGTTCCTCACTCTCTTGAACAGGAGATAGAGCCACTCTTGCTTGTGTTTGCCACCCCTGAAACATGAATTGGATGTCTTTGGGAATATACAGGATGCTCCAGCACATGCAATTAGTCTCATGACCTCAGCCATGTAACAGTCCTGCACAAAAGCAGCTGCTGCCAAAAGCAACGGCAATTTTGCTCTCCTCCTGTTTCTTGAATACAAGGAGGTGATTTAATTATTCTGTCTGATGAGATATTTTAAATGGATATTTGGCAAGCAAAATTGGCAGCAAAGGCACTTTCCTTTAACTGGAAGCAATGAGGTCTTCTCTCAGGAGCTCCTGCAGCACTAGTCAGGCCTGACATCTCCATAAAGATGCTCTGCAAGGTGTTTCTGCACAGCTGTTTCTTCCTTCCGTGTGTCAGACTGAAAAGACAAGTGACTGAATAACACCTGCTCTCTCCCTTTCAGATTGTTGGTGCCAATGTGGACCTTAACAAGATGCTGCTTGACATCGACAACACCAGAATGACTGTGGATGACTTCAGAATGAAGTGAGTCGCTCCCTTCCTGGGCCATTCCATCTTGCCTCCCTTTACCCTCCAAGATTTCCCGTTGCTAACTAATCTTTGTAGAGGTTGGAGCCAAATATAGAATTGTTGAGACAAGCATTCTGAGGAGAATTGCTTTAGGTTTTCGCTACTATTTTTCTCCAGATAAGCTCTTGAAGAGACAAAGGTCTCTGTTCTAAGCTTCTTCAGCCTTGCATGTAGATTGATAAGCACAATCCTCATCTTATAAATCTCACCAAGAGGGACTGTACTGAAATGAAACACCTATTGGAGACAGAGAGAGAGTTAGGCCCTTTCTTTGAAGAACTGACAAGTGGGATTAGAGACCAGAGACCTATAATGGGAACTGGCCATGGTCAAAATACTGAACAAAGAGTCTGACAGCACCTTCACTTTCTTTCTTCTCTGTCTTCTTCAGGTATGAGACTGAGTACAGTCTGCACCAGAGTGTGGCAAGTGACATCAATGGATTACGTCCACTTTTGGATCAGCTGACTCTATCCAGGTCTGACTTGGAGACACAGTTTGAATCCCTGAAAGAGGAACTGGTCTATCTTAGGAAGAACCATGAAGAGGTAAGTTTCTCCACACTTCATTACCTGACAACAACACAACACTCAGAGAACTTCCCGTGGATTTTTCCACCAGCAATAACCAGGTTATGTAATAATCACTGGCTTTGATCATCCAACTTGACACGATCTGACTTTGACTTAGAGGAGCGTGTAGTGTCCATAGCTGCAGTGTCCAGTGCTGTCCAGTGCTGCAGCTGATGGAATACGACACTTAGGTCAACACACAAGACCAGGGGAATGAATGTCATAGAATCATAGAATCAACTGGGTTGGAAAAGACCTCCAAGATCATCAAGTCCAACCCTACTGTGGTCACTAGGCCATGGCACTAAGTGCCACATCCAGTCTCATCTTGAAAACCTCCAGGGATGGTGAATCCACCACCTCCCTGGGCAGCACATTCCAATGCCTGAGCACTCTCTCCCTAAAAAATCTCTTCCTAATATCCAACCTAACCCTCCCCTGGCAGAGCTTGAGTCTGTGCCCTCTTGTCCTGCTGCTGGTTGCCTGGGAGAAGAGACCAACCCCCACCTGACTCCAACCCCCTGTCAGGGAGTTGCAGAGGGTAGTTGTCTTCCATTACAAAGTACAGTTTTGTTGCTGAACTCATGGAAGGAAAACTGGATAGAATATATGGAGGAGTCAAAAGAAACTATTTCTGCTCTCTGCAATGAGATTTCCCACTGAGAAGAAAAGATTCCCACAAAGAGGACACTGCATAGAATTCCTTACAACCCTGTGGAGGTCACATGGTGCCTGGTGAGAGGCACTGCCAGTCAGGCTCAGGAACAGCAGGATTGTTCCACAACAGGGGAGGATCTGTGTCCCTTTATGTCCCTCCATGTGATGCCATTTCTCCTTACCTTCACCCTTTGAGAACCTTGTGGGGTTTTGTGTTTTCCAGGAAATGAAAGGACTGCAGACACAGTCTGGTGGGGATGTCAGTGTGGAGGTCAATGCTACTCCTGGCATCAACTTGATGGAAAAATTAAATGAAATGCGTTGTGAGTATGAAAGACTCATCGAGAACAACCGGAAGGAGGTGGAAAGCTGGTATGAAACCAAGGTAAAGCACGGGGGGGGGTTGGTTAGTGAATCTTTCACAAAGTGCTGGACCTACTCACATCCAGCAGAGGAAAGACAACTTCTCATATATTATTTATGGGATAGTAAATGACTTCAAGCAGTTTCCTGTAACAGCTCAGGTCTGGAGCATGAAGGTTATGTGGTAAAGTCACATAACCTCATAGACCATGTAGAACCTCTGTGTTCCAGCAGGCAGGTGAGCCACACAGGATGGTGGCACAGTGGCTTGTGTGAAATAAACAGTCTGCATTGCATCTCTATCCTTAATGACTGATTTCTCAGTGGTTTTATGATACCCACAAAGTGTTCTCTTATCATCAACCAATGCCTCAATTTTCCATGTGATTTCTCAGTGGTTTTATGATACCCACACAGTGTTCTCTTATCATCAACAAATGCCTCAATTTTCCATGTGAATTTTTTTTTTTCAGATGGAAGAAGTTAATCAACAAGTCCACTCAAGCGGTCAGGAGATACAATCCAGCAACCAGCAGATCTCTGAGCTGAGACGTGAATACCAGAGCCTGGAAATTGAGCTGCAGTCACAGATCAGCATGGTAAGGAAAGGCATTTGCTTCACCTGTGCCACAGGCTGTGTGTGGGGAGAAGGGTCACTCCATCTGAGCACAACGGGACACTGGATTGCTTCCCTCCTAAGACACACTTTTTTTCTGGTTTGTGAAGATCTCCCGTTTTCCCACAGAGTTAAAGTCTCCACATTCCCATGAACACTGTGTTTGGTTTCCCTTTGCAGATAGACTCTCTGCAATCCAACCTGGAGGACACGGAACGTCGCTACAACATGCAGCTGCAGCAGATCCAGAGCATGATTGGCCCCTTGGAGGAGGAGCTGGCCAGCATCCGCTGCGAGATGGAGAGCCAGAACGAGGAGTACAAGATGCTGCTGGGCATCAAGACCCGCCTGGAGCAGGAGATCCAGCAGTACCGGTCACTGCTGGAGGAGGGACAGCAGGACCTCGTGTACGTACTGGGAGTGTGACACTCAGGGCTGCTGGGTCAGTCACAGGCAGGAGGTGAACAGCTGAGATTAGCAAAACAGGTTTTGTGCTGAAATGAAGCAATGCTGCTGTCTTGGCCAATCCCTTCCCAGTCTGGGGTATATCATTCTGATCAGAATGTAACTCGTGTGAAGAAAAATCAATGCAGAAATTCTGAACTACTGATTTAGGGCTGGACAGGCAAATCTGTGTAGAGAGCCTGGTTCTAGGAAAGTCAGGAACTGAACAGAGGTCACCTTGGAAAAAACTAAGCAAAACCAGACCATAGTTTTCCAAACTTTCATCAAAGCCCCTGGAAGTTCAAGCTCCTTGAGCTTCCCTTGCACACTGAGCTTGATCCTGTCAAAGTGGTGCCTGAAAGAGCAGCTAAGGCTTCATTCTCTGCCAGTCGATTTCAAGCCAAACTGGTAAAGCAGCAGGGCCAAACATTGCAAGAAATCCCTAGGCAGAACATGGGAAGTGCAAAATCTCTTGCACTCAAGCTGAAATTGCAAGAGAGGCATATTTTTTGGCACTGCATGAGTTGTGTTGCTGCTCTGTGCTGGGTTCTAACTCAGTACAGCCCAGAGAGGAGATGGTTCCCATCAACAGCTGTAGCTGGATTGTCTTCAGATATCCAAATGCATTGGGTTAACTTTTTTCTTTCCTTCTTTCTCTCTCTTTGCAGAATCCCATCAGGAGGAATGGGAGGAGGCATGGGAGGAGGCATGGGAGGTGGTAGAATGGGAGGTGGTGGTTATTCTGGAGGTGGAAGAGGAGGAGGTGGTGGCATGAGCGGTGGATTTGGAGGTGGTAGCAGTGGAATGGGAGGAGGAATGGGAGGAGGAAGCTGTGCAGGAGGAATGGGAGGAGGAAGTAGTGGAGGAGGAATGGGAGGAGGAAGTGGAGGAATGGGAGGAGGAAGCGGCGGTGGATGCAGTACCATTGGAGGAGGAGGAGGAGGAAGAACCTCAGGAGGCATGAGCAGTTCCCACTCCTACTCTTCATCTTCCCAGTCGCAGTCCTGCAGGACTGGTGGTGAAAGCCAAGGTGAGAAGGGTGGTGTGGGCACAGTGTTCTCTCAGTCCCATCCTGAGTAACTTAACCACTGATTTATGCCAACACACTCTGCCAGGGGCAAACAGCACTGAGGATAAACTCACATTTCTGAGTGGGAGATTTACTGTTGTCACAATTCTTTCCTCTTTGAGTGTAAAGGATCAATTCTCCCTCCAAAAGGCACAGCCCATTTCTATTCCATCTGGTGGGTGACATCAGCTGATCCTGTAGTTAAACCCGAGCTGGTTCTATTCATCTCATTCTTTGCAGAACCTCATAAATCCCATTGCCTTTGTGCCATGCTGGAGTTTTGCTTTATGCTTTTGGAATGCTTGTGGTCACTCCTACCTGCTCCCAGTGCCTGGGGGATACTGGTGGCTCAGAGGTTCAGTGTCAGCTCTGATGAGGTTTGTGCTTCCTTTATTTCTAAACAGGCTATGCAAGAAAATCTTTTGACTAAGAATATGCATCAAGGATCCTCCAGTGCAAGACCTTCCAAACAGAAACTCTCCCAAATCCACTGTATCCCTGAGGAAAGATGCTCTGAACAGTTCCTGCTGCAGATGTCACCTCTCCCCCTGCCCTCCTGCCCTGCATGTTCTGCACTGCTTCTGCCCACAACACTCTGCAGCTTCGGTCACCTGCACCCAAACTGCTGCTTTACACATTCAGCCTGCTTGGTTCTTGGGTTGTTGTGAATCAGGAAAATGTCTCTAATAAAATTCCATTTCTGTCTGATGCAACCAGAATCCTGTGTGAGGTTTTTCTTTATTCTGAAGGTGTAAACACAAAGCCATGCCAAGACACACCTCCAGGTAGAGAGGTTGATGATACAATCCAGTAGTTGATAATGGAATTTAAAGCACAGTTTCTGAGCAGTCAGGGCAGATTATAATCTTGGAGTACCCTGGGCTGTGCTTTTGTTTTTTAATTATGTGCCAGATACTCTGGTGAGCTGAACTCTGAGACTCAGCTGGTGAATATCAGCCCAGAGGGGAATGCAGAGCCTCAGCACTCCATGAGGGTGATGGTACTGGCACCCAGGTCGGACACAGAGGAACACAAATGATTACAGAGCCAAGGCTGTAAAACAAAAGGAATGTTTCAATCCACAAAACTTAACTGACACTCACCTGGAAATGCACCAGCTAGGAATCTGGGTTTGAAGCGATACAAAAAGGAAGTGAAAAGCACCTTTTCTATGTTCTCCTCCATAAAATGGCAAGGCAGAATGGAGGCAGCAGCTGGTGAGAGACCCAGGTGGAGGGAAGGAAGAATTTGCAGGATCAGTTTACATCCATGGGGCATGGGATCGGGTTTGTGTGGCAAGGGTTGGGAAGCAGGGGGATACAGGGGTGGGTTCAGTGAGAAGCTGCTAGAAGCTTCCCCCGTGCCCAAAGGAGCTGGAGCCAAGACAGACCTGCCCCTGGCCAGGGCTGAGCCCATCGGTGATGGTGGCAACTCCTCGAGGATAACAGAGAGAGGAAAGGTGACCAAAACTGCACAGCTGGAGGCAGAGAGAGGACTCAGTTTATTTCTCCTGTAATACAGAACCCCTGCCTAGAGCACTTCTAGGCTGGATCCATCTCCCTCTCTGTGGATAAGCTGATTCACAGCAGGTCCCAGCAGCTCCTGGTGCTTCCTTTGCCCAGTCACTCTCCTGTAGGAGCTGTGGCACCAACACAGTGTACAGGTGGAAACCTGAGGAGCTGTTTCTGTTCAAGGCTTTTCTCAGTTTCACAAAAGCTGATTAGTAAAGATGGAAAAAGCAGCTCACTGCACAGTCCCTTATTGCACAGGCAGTGGAAAAAAGTACCCAAGTGTTTCTGTTGGGTGGTGCAAGACATTCTGTCATGGTTGCAAAACACCTTCACTGCAACAAGCTCAGGTAATGATTATATTTTTTCCAGATCTAATCTTTGGGACTGCACCTTTTCACCAAAGTTATTTTCCCACTGTTTTATATCATTCAAGGAGAGATTCTGTGAAATTCCTGTTTTAATATGGTTATGAAAATACTCAAATATTCCTCCTCAGTTTCCTCTGAGTCCACTTAAAACAGTTAGAATTAAGAGCTCTTTGATAGGAAAAGGTTTAAAATGTTTCCATACACCTTTTGTGGCTGTCACTCTGTGCTGTTCCACAAGAAAAAGGACTGTGAGGCCCATCCTGCACTGTCAGAGGAAGCTGAATGCCAGCAGGACCTTCCTCAATGCAAGCAGTGAAAACAGAGGGAAAAATTGAGAGTAAAGTTCTTCTCTCTAACAGACATGGGAATGCAGTTTTTAAAGCTTTTATTTCAGTGAATTAAAGTAGATTTCTAAATAGCTAGTGTAGATCTGGAATAAATCAAGAATGGAAATTCTGTTGGACTTTGTCATGACAGGAGAAGAGCAAAGGCTTGTTAGGGTTTTTTAGGAGCTCCCCTTTTGCTTTAAGGAATTTTCCCCCATACATGTTATCAGAAGACGTTGATGGTCGGATACTTAAGAGAGACAAAAGACCTCAGACACTGGGGGGGACACCTTTTTTCTTTTACAAAAGACCTCAGCCGCAGCTGAACCACCGAGTTTCACCTAAGAGGAGAAGGAAGGAGACAGACAACAAGGCAAAGTCTTCATTAGCTTCCAGTACCAGTGATATATTCCCAGATTAACAGAACCTGGGGAAAATTATATTATTCAACAAAATATCCAAGCAGGAGCCACCCAGAGGAAATTACAGTGCAGGCTTGGTGTGGATAAACACAGACATACTTGAACTGAACAGTAATGCCTTTTACTTACCTCAGACAACATTTCCTTAGCTCATCACTTTTGGCATGAGCAGGAAGGCTGGCAAACCCCATG